CTTCGTGGCTGCGGCTCAGCGCGCCCAGGCCGCTCTGGATGCGGCTCACGGAGCCCGCCAGGCCGCCCTGCCTCTGCGCCAGGCCCCCCTGGCGCTCCCGCAGCGTCTCCAGCATGGCGGCCAGCTTCTCCAGCAGGGTCACCACCGTCACGGCGTGCACGGGGCCCTCGGCCGGCGCTCTGGGCGCAGGCCCGGGATCCAGCGCGCTCTCCCCCATGATCTCCGGCCTGCTCTCCCCGCGACCGCCGGCGCAGCTCTGGGCTGGGGCCGCCTTCCCCGGCTCCTCCCCGGCTCCAGCCGTGACTCAGGCAGGCGGAGTTGGCCTCCTCGGGCCGCGGGAGGGAGGGCGAGGGGCGGGATGTCGGCGGCGGGGTCCGTAGCAAGCGTTCCCCCTTCTGCCGCCCCGCCCCGGGGACCCGCGGGGGAAGCAGGCGGCCCAGGGTCAGCCCCAACCATCCCACAAACTCTCTCACTCTGAGTCTGACTTCTGCTCCTTGGCCCCAGTTCCCTGGCGTGCCTCTCCCTGGAACACACTCTCCCCCAGAAAGGGCGAGCCATGGAAAATATTGTTGTCCGCATCGAGTGGGCAAAGAAACTACGGTATCGATGTTAGCGCAGCAAAGGGACAGCCGGAGGGGCCTCCGCAGCGGCAGCGCCGCCGCCTTCCGGGCCTCCGAGGGTCGTGTTTGCGCCGCGGCTGGTGCTGCAGACCCGGAGGCTCTCGCCTGCTCGGCTGCACACCTAAGGCTGGGCCCGAGGCTGCGCTTCGCGGCCGGGCAGGCTGCGCAATGGGAACCGCGGTCGGGGCGTCCTCTGGTATGTTCCGAAAAGTCATGCCAGGGTTTAGCTGCAGGCCCCATTTCCTGCCTCTCTGGTTCTAGCGGCACTACCCTGTTTGGCTTCTATTTCTCCTGCCTCCCTTTCATGGGGCTTCCCGGGTAAACCCCAGGGCGCCTAGCTCCTGCACCCCAAGCTTGGAGGGCAGGCAGGACGTCCCTTCCTTGGAAATCCCTATGAGGATTACAGTAGGTGCCAGTGTGACTTTGTTTTCATGGAGGTAGGTTGCCCGGCTGCTGCCTGATGTTTTTAAATTTTTTTCTGGAAATAAGTTCAAATATTTGCCGCAAGTGAACAAAATTTGAAATTGCCGCTGTAGAGGTGAAGAGAGTGAGCAGAGAGGATCCAGTTAAATAATGTGGGCCACGAATTTGTAACGTCTTTAGCAATACTTGGTAAACCAAGGGTAGCCTCAGAAGTCCAAGCAATCCATTGATACCAATGATCTCTCTGCTCACCGAGTCTGTGAGGGCCACTTGATACCAGCTGCAGAAGAAATAGTGTCACTCAGGATAGTTAAGTGGGTCTCCAAGGCCCGGAGATCTGACTCACACAAAAGTCAGAAGATGGGCAGCTATTGCCAGAAATCTGGTGATGTCAAGTTGATGACCTACTTCTACAGATGCAAGGTCATGGAGCCTGACCCCTCTGCTTAACACAAGAGAAATGGACTCCCTCCGGAGCCAGAAAGGAATTGCAGTCTCTTCCAGTGGGTCTGTATTTGCCCAGAGATACCCGCCAGGATGTGCCAGTTAAAATGCTTTCAAACTGAGGGAACAGAAAACCCAATTCAAACAGTTCTTAGAAACAGGAAATCCAATCCAAACATAATTGAAAAAGACTATTCAAGGGTGATGATTGAATGTGGGTCAGTCAAGGCTCTAAATCTGGCTCTCTACACTCTGTCCCCCTACAAGAGTCATCTTTATTCCCAGGTTGGGAGCAAGGTGACTACAGCAGTTCCAGGCCTCATATCTCTGCACAAGATCAAGAGAAAAGAAGGGACTATCTTAAAATTTAAGACATTTATTTCTCATAAGTCCCCCAGGATTTTTCCACTTGCCTCCCACTGGGTTACACGGACATTCCAGAAAAAAAATTGTTTGTGAAGGGTTCCTTTTATACTCTGACCCATCCCCTTTCCAGAATGCATGAGGAAAGATCGGCTTTATTTATTTATTTTAAAACCCACTGCCCTTTTCGCAGGGCTGAGCCTGCCTATAATATACCTGCCTCTGTCTGCCTGTATCGAGAACAGCTGGCTGCTCCCTTGACTTGAAGTGAAAGGAGGGAAAAGGAAAAGCGAGGACAGATCAGATCAGGTTCCAGTGCCTTAGGCGGTGCCACAGTGCATCCTTGTTTTTGTTTTTCTCTCAATGATCAGTTGCCCTTAAAGATGCTGCAAAGATCCCCTGAAACAAAAGAAGCCAAGACACTGCAGTTAACATCCTACCTGGGGGCGGGGAAGGGGGGGGTGAGCATGTGCCCTCAGGCCTGGGGACCAGCCCCGAGGGATCCAGCACACGGGCCTTCCTAGAGTACCTGTGGTAGCTAGTGAAACAGGCAGCGGCTCCCACAGCCGCTCATGGGGCTGTTTGGGTTTCAGAGTCAGCACACACTCCCCCTTGGAGTTCTTGGACACTCCATATCTTGGATTATCCTAAAGGCCATCTACTTTGACCGGGCTCAGGGGAGACTCCGTGATTGGCCCTGGCCAAGTGACAAGCCACAGTCTAGTCAGCTCTTCCCCTTGGGCCCCATAAATCAGAAAGAAAGATGAGATCTGAGGTGTCTGTGATTTTTTTTTGCCTCTCCCACCAAGACCGGGGAGAAGGCATGAGACTGCAGATCCTAGAAGAAAAAATATAGAAGTATTTAGGATGTTGGACAAAGGCAATGCTCCCTGCAGCTGAGAGGCATACCGCCTTTGGAAGACAATTTCTGACTTACTACCAGGTGCGAGTGGAGAAAGTCACCAGAGATTCCTGGGTTGTTTTGTAAAATGGAACGGCCAGTCACACATAGCAATACAACCTAACAGTCTTAGACCATTAAATGGGGAAAAAAGCATCTGAGTTAATTGTACAAGAAACATCCCTGACTCTGAACCTCAATTTCAGCTGCCAGACAAACTGGGACACCCTCCAGGGACTTAACCTTTGACTCAAAAGTAACAACTTGCAACACAGCAGAACTACCTTTTAACAGGGAATGTGCCTCAGTGGACAGGCACTGCCTTCCACCCTTTGTCATCGACATCCTGTCTACGGAAAGGGTATGGCCATTCCACACAATGAGGGAGCTCTGTGCTGCGGGCAATGAAAAGAGCTGTAAGTTTGGGGCAACAGGAAGTGAGGGGCAGGAAAAAAAACACACCAATTTTACCAACTAAGTAAATCAATCAACATGCCGTAGATGGCCAAGGCGCACCAGGCACGTCAGAGCACCATGCACCTGAGATGAGACCGAGGTTGGCAGGAGCCCAGAATTCTGGAGAATCTAATTGCTGCTGGAGCCGATTGTCAGGATGTGGGAGCTGGGTTCCTCCTGAAAAAAATGGCCTGCAACATTCCAAAGGCAAAAAGCCTAGAAGCAGTTACTGAATAGACTCTATTGAACCTCTTTCTGTAATCTGAGGAATTCAGTGGCCCCTGATGGGGGGTGGGGGGAGGCCTTGCCTGAATTTGAACTTGCTTTCTTGGACAAAGCACTGAGGAGCCCCCATCAGAGCCACTGCGGCCCTCGACCTTAAGCCAACACGGCGTTTCTCAGCTATGGCCTCCCATCCAGGAACGTGTTTTGCCACCTACATAGTAAAGGGCAGGGCAGATCATGAGGTGTGCCCTACATCTCAGAGGTAGCCCTCTAGACTGCGAGACAGAATGGAGCACCGAAGGTGGCCTTGACCAAGATGCTGTGGGCAGCAACCCCAGCCAGTGATGACTTACAGGAAATTGTACATAGCTAGGGCCCTGCACCTACTTTTATCTTAGTACACACAATCCCCCTGTGTACCTGGGGCTGGGCCCAAAGAAGGAGAAGCCATTATGAGCCACCTACTATTACCACAACTGGGAGTTAATATGATTTATATGATTTAGCACTACATTAGTTGGATGGTGTTTAGTTATGAGACTTTGTTTGAAAAATAACTATCATTTGTTTGATGTCTAAAAAAGAGATAGTAGTGCCCTGGCTGGTGTGGCTCAGTTGGTTGGAGCATCATCCTGTACACCAAAAGGTGATGGGTTTGATTCCCAGTCAGGGCACATACCTAGGTTGAGGATCCATCCCCTGGGTGCATGCAGGAGGCAACTGATCAATGTTTCTCTCTCACACTGATATTTCTCTCTATCTCTCTCCCTTCCTCTCTCCAAAATCAAGTTCTAAAAATTGCTTAAAATAATAGTTATGGAGAAGAGATAGTAGCCATTCTGTTCAACCAGGGAAGGGGAAGAAGTGAACGTAGCCTGGGCAAAGAATAGCATTGGCTCTTCCATCCCAGCCCACCATCAGGCAATTGGCATGGTTTAGTGATACTGCACAACACAAACTATCATAATGAATATTTCTTTTCCTGTTTGGATTCAGTGCATTGTAGCAACAGAAGAGAAGGTTCTTAGAATCAGACCATATGTGTAATAATCCGTTCACTAAGCCAACCAGGTCTGGCGATTGAAAGGCTTTGAAAAGGGAAAATGTTTTAATAGGTCTGCAAGCTTACCCATTTAATTCAAGGGTAAGAAGGATCCCTGAGACTGGTGGAATGGTCCTTGAGACTGGTGCCCCAGCTTTTTGGTATCAAAATCCCATCCAGTTAGTGTGATGGTATCACAGTGATCCACTGAGACCCCTGGAGATAATATGAATGAGAGGGGAAAATAAACAGGAAAGATTTTAAACATCAACTATTATGAGAAAGAGGGAAACAAGAGGGGAGGAATTTGGTTACAACTACAGTTAAAAAAAATCTCAGAAAACAGATTTAGTTAAACATATACAAACTAAAAGAAAAATAAGCTGAAATTAAATTCCAACATGCCCATTAGGTAAGAAATCTTTGGTTGAGTTTAAGAAGTAGAGCTGGTCTTTATTTTGTCTGCCCTCTATATCACATCTCATGTTGTCCAGCTCTTAACCAGTACCTACACTGGTTACGGTTTCTTTACCAGGTGAACTGACCCAAACCCTTATACCAGAAGAGTCTCACCCCTCAGTGAATTAGCCTAGAATTTGTGCTAATGTTTTGATTAACATTTCCCACCAGACATGGCAGAAGAAGGATTTCCCCAGGCCTCCATTAGAGTGGATCCCACCCAGGCATCACTTTTTCTGCAATGGACAGCAGCCCATTCAATCTGGCGAGGCCTCACCAGCTGC